TCGATAATTGCTACTCGAATGTCAAAGATGGGAAAAACGCGGGCCAAGAGGGTGAGGAAAGCTTCCCTTCAAGTTCAGAATCAATGAGCCTGACTGGGAACTTACAAGACCAAGAGACTCAGACAGACAGTGAGGGGCATAGGAAGGGCACCACGCAAAGCGAGGCCTGGGGACCCCTGAAGGTCCCATAGACACTTCCCGGGGTCTGTGCTTTTATGAGAATACGAAGACACGATTTGCCTTTGTAACTACCATTATGTCACTTTTTCACAGGCCACAAGACACGTGACATCAAAACAGATGGAATGCAGGAACAGACTCCAGGAGCCAGCGAGCTTGTTAAGCCAGACACTAAAGAAATTTGTAAAAGCAGGATGCGATGTCATTTTTCTCAGTGAATTTTTGTGGATAGTTATTTCCCATAAAAACTGCTACTTACATTAACACGTATCGGGTGTGTTACTATTAGATGAATTAATGAATACTTTAAACATTTTTAATTTCTCATAAAAGTATCGGCCAGAACTGACCTAAATAAAAGCTCTTGGGGATTGTAATTTTTAGGACTGTAAAGGGGTGCTGATGCTCCTTTGGTTTGAGCATTGCTATTCTAAAGGAAGCCTATGTGTCTGGCATGATTTACGAGCAAACATACATACTTCACCCTTTGGGGAGGGTCTTTCTAGAGCAGTGGTCTCACCGGGGGCCACTCCGCCCTCCAGGAGACATCTGGCCACGTCTGGAGGAACTTTTGGTTGTCAAAAGTGGAGGGGGTGCAGGGCTAGCAGCACCTGGTGGGGAAAGCCAAGGGTGCTCAGGGCAGCCTCGCGGGGAAGCATCTGGTCCACCCATCAACACTGGTGAGCGTGGGGTGGAGGCACCCAGGGTCTGCCAAGCGTCCAGCTTGTCACTCGGTCCCAGAGAAGAGGTGGGCACTGCGATGGGAAGCTCATGGCACCTCCCCCTAACTCACATGCGCTCCAGCCCACGGCTGATCACCCGCTTTGCAGATCCTCTGTCTTTCCTGAACACCAGGCTCTAAGCAAACGGGCTGCAGAGTGGCTGGGGAAGTGGGCCGAGGGGCGGCAATTAAAAGTAGCGAACCCCACTCTGAATTAATAGTTGCATGTGCATTTCCAAAAAATAAAAATAAAAATAAAGTACTAGTCTTTTGGGTCCTGAGTGTCACTGGAGTCCCGTTTAGGGTTGTGTGGAAAAAAAGTGGGAAGAGAACAATGGGGAATGTGGCACGGAGGCTCCCAGCTGCAGCCCAAGCTCAGAATTTGGCCCCCAGACAGTGGCTCTGATGTTCCGGGGGAGGAGCTGGGGACTCTCCTTGCAAGGGTGATGATCACAGCCGCCTTTCCCGGAAAGCACACCTACCAACAAACTATTTTCACTGTCCTCCAGCACTCGGGTTAAAACACAGCCGAGGGACTAGAAAGTCAAATTTTCTTGAAAAGATACTTTTCATAAAAATGTGAATTTACGTTACCGTGTAATGGGTATTGTTACTATTAGATGAATCGATATTTTTGAAATTTCAGTTTTAATTTCTAAGACGTGACTCTCCCAGCAACACCTACGGGACCCCAGCATATCTGGCTCCCTGTCTCTGCAACACCAAGGGGGGCGGGAGAGGATGTAAAGGGACAGATGAGAGAGAAGAGTTGTTACTAAAGGCAGAAGGTGTCAGAATAAGCTAACAGGTTGGAGAGAGGACTGTTGCGCTTTCTTTTCAGCAACACATATTATGTAAGCGATGCTGTAGAGACTTTCAAACAAAACTGAGCCGAAGCAGGACATGCGAAATACACGGCCAGAGAACAACACGGAAACAACCTTTAATGTGCTTAAAACAAGTCACTTTACAAAGAGCACAGACACTTTCGAAAACAGAACTTTGGACGCAGTGTACAAATTAAGGCAACTACTATCAACAACTACTACCACGGCATGGTCTCAGTCTTCTAAAATGGACTTTAAGAATCTCTGAGCGATTTATTAAGACTCTGGATATTCATCAAGTGTGCCTCGTGAGGTTTCCACAGCTCTGAAGGTCACACTGGGAACGGCTGCTCCAAGCGGAGTTCCCTCGGCCCATCTCTTGAGTTCTCCAACTTCCAGTTCCCCGGGAGCCCATCTGCGGCCTCACTCCTTCAAAGTGTGCCATGAAATAAACCCGTAAGGACTGGGCAGAAGCTCTGGTTCCCAGGACACATGTGGAGAAGTCAAACTTAAACATCGTATTTGAAAGCGAGTAAAACAAAAGTACCAACACACACCATTCAAGGAGTAGTTTCTAGAAAAAGCAAAATGTGCACAGCATCAGTTAGAACCTTTAACGGTATCTTGTTACATTGGAAGATATATTCTGCCACACATCTCGCAGGGAAAAGTTCTTTCGAGAAGTTGTGGGTCATGCCTAATCTGTCCCACAGAGTTAAAAATGGCCACGCTGGAAACTCACCAAGTGTTTTCAGGGGTGAGGAAACAGGGACACAGAAGTCAGGTGACATCATTTATGGCAACCAGGAGTCAGCAGTTTTACCATCTAATAACCCCCAGGCTAAAATACTTTCCCCTACACTGCTCTATCCCTTACAATCCGTTAAGGCGGGACTTCATCTTCCTTCCTAAAGACCCCACGCCATCAAATGTTCCTTTGTTTAACCCAAAAGTGTTCTGCAGTGTATGTCACTTGCTTCTCTGTCTTCTATGAGGCTGGATTACAGGCAGCCAGGATTTTAGTATGAGGACCCTTTCCAGTCTCGCAGTGGTGTATTAAGTCAATCAACAGTAGGCCAAGTTCTTTTAGGTTTTCTCTGCCGGGATTACTTCCCAAGCCTGGCTACCCTGCTCTGGGCGGGCGGCCTGTTCTGCTCGCCTCTCAGGCTGTGAAGCCTTGACTGCGGTAGCTGCCCTAACACAGGTGAGTTCACAGGCTGGCCTGGCCGTGAAGGTGATATGACACTGAACAGGTCTGAAAAGCGGCACGGCACGGCAGTCCTATCTGAATCGTTCAGGTTAAAACATTCAAGTTCGGAGCAGTGTTGACAGGAGAGGAAAAGAATGAGGGTTTAATGCGCCTGAGTCAATCATGTTTGGTAAGTGGGCGGAACCAGAGGTGAAGGCGCAACACGAAGACGAAGACGGAGGAGGGAAAGCAACGATTAAAAAAAAAAAAAAAAAGTCAGGCTCAACGCAAAGTTCAGGTGCACTGCAGTGCCCCAATCTGCATTCCTGCAAAATAACGGACACAGGGGTCTCCCAAGTGTCCTGATTAGTGTGCCATGTTGCCTCTGGTGTCCTTATGAGGAGTGAAGGGCCCACCATTTCAGTATTTGTCGGTGGTAATTCAAGCTCTGTGGCTCCAGCTCTTAGTAGCACTAGAAAAAATACAAAAAGACAAGTGGGGCATCACACTCGGGCACTGCAGGCCACACCTCAAGAGTCTTAAGCAACTGACAGTCTAGGAACTCAGTCCACCTTAAAAACACGCATTTGACTTACTAGTGGTTCTGGCTGTCTTTGAGCTGCTGAGGGATGGTTCAGGTTCAAACTTAACATTATCCGCCCTTCTAGCCAGGTTCTTTCTGCTCGAACAGGAATAAACGAGTGATACACACCGATGTCCTCTGACACACTAACAGTGAGAGAGACAGGTATGGGAGCAAGAAAGGTTTGGGGAGCACCGGAAGCCTTTGCGGCTGCAATAAAAGCTCCGTAAATGATAGAAAAAGCATCCACCTTGCAGAGTGATTGCACTGCACTTAAATCAATTTAGTCCAAAGAGTGACACGGAAACAGGCAGGTCAAAAGCAAGAATGCCACAGTAAAACTTGATTGTCGGCTATAAACAAAGGGCAGGGAAAGGCTGGCATAAATAATCCCTAACTATTTAAGAAACTTTTTGGGATTTCTCCTTTTTGCTTTGGGGAAGGCGACGGATTTGCTGGAATAAACCACCTGCTGAAGAGGAGGGAGGCTTAGGATGCACCAAATCGTAAGGAAAAGATAACGCTGGGAGTTAAAAAAAAAAAAACCCACTGCTGATAATTGCCAGTTAACTGTTTTCCAGACAGAACTGAACTCATTCTAACTTGGCTTACAGGAAGGGGGCTGACACTTACAAACTAATGTCATCTGTGATAAGACCAGGGACCTTGATGACCCAGCTCTAGAGACTGTGACACTGAATCAAGCAGTTTCTCGGCCACCAATGATCCACAAGGGCCAGTTAGCTCTGCCTGGGTGGAGTCAGCTCCTGGGTCCTTAGCCCAGGGTGCTCCAGTCCAAGCACTCGTCACAGGCAAGACAAGACCAGGCAGAGTGCTGGCTCTGCACACGCTCTCAATGGTGTCAAAGGAATGACCCGAACCCCGCCAGGTAGACACAGGCCTCCGTGAGCATTTGGGTTGTTCCTCAATGAGCCCGCAGGTGAGAAGCAGAAGTCGTCACAACTGGCCCACGCAGACAGAGAACACAAGTAGAAGAGAGAGGTTGTATAAAAATGCCCGAACTAGACAAACTGAATGGTACTGATGTTCTGGGAGAAAGAGGCTAAAGGAATCAGACGTCAACAGGAGAGGTCGTGTGGGACACGGGCGGCACAGGCCTGGCCAGAGAAAGGAAAGGTGATGGAAGGAAGAGGAGGAGACGCTGAGAGGGACCAGGTTGCTGGGGAAGGACGGGAGGGGAGAATCTGAGAGCTAAATGGAGCCCGAACCACAGTGAGAGCTGCTAGATTTGGGGTGGGGGTTATGAACTTAAAACTACCAGCTGCAGATACAGCTTCCAGAAACACATCCACATTTTCCCAGACGGAAACAGTAAAACCTACAGAACCAAAATTTCAGGTTACGAAGCAGACTACGAGAAAATCTCATGCAGGAAAACACTCTAGAAGACCCTGGTGTTTTCTCGCCCACGCTGTTTTTCTGCCCTTAGTTAAAAGGTGTTCACGACAAAACAGAAAGGTAATATTTGAGAGCAGTTACCTCTGATTCTATTATGTCTTGTCCTTCTTTGGAACTTTTTCCACTTTTCCCTGCTTTTGGTGATTCCTGGGAAATATCAAGCAGAGTCAATTAGACTTCTCAATTTTTAGACTGCCAAACATCAGACAACCCCAAATGCAGTTTAAAACCCGATTTATACCATTTAACCAGAACTTCCACTAATTTTAATCAATACCACCAAGAAATTCTGCCTCACGTCACTTAGTTACCATAGAATATTGCGATGCGACACCCCCACCCCCCCAGTTCAGACTCTCCTCGTTTTCCTGATGTTTATTTGGCGTTGAAAACTTCAGGCAGAAATAGATAAACCCCCATGTAAGGTGCTCTCCGTGTTTCGACAGAGCCACACTGCATCCCTTTCTTGCCTCCCACCTGAGCGGGGATTTCTGGGGTGACTCTGAGACGCTACCAAGCTCCACCTGGAGCAGAAGCGTACCCCCCCCC